TCAGTATTTTTGCTAGGTCAGAATATTAGTAACTTTGCAAAGAATTGCAGCTTTCCCTATGATCTGAAATCCAACCTTTTAAAAATATCTTTGAGAGCACCTTATCAAATGTAGTGAACACTTCTCTGCCTCATCTAATTCAAACTTTCTGTGACATTTGGCCCTAGAGACTTCTCCCTGCTCCTTCCTCCCCTGAGCCCAATGAAACCACTCCCTCTTGTGATTTGCCCCACCACGCAAAAATCCTTGGCAGTCTCTTTTTGCAGGCTTCCCTTTTATCACTCAGTTTTTAAAGAGTTCCATCCCAGGCCTTCTCTTTCTCCCTAAGTGAAGGTGTCAACACCCACAGCTTCAATTATCACCTATGAGATAATTTCCTCCAAATCTCCAAGTCAAACATGTCTCATAAGTTCAAAAACCCACATATTCCCTTATTCAACAAATACTTAATGAACACCCACTATGTGTGAACTCAAGTGACCACTAATTGTTCCTACTAGGAAGTTTATAGGTACTTCTCTAAATATCTAAAACATTGTGAGAACCTTTCTTCCAGAAGGGCGATTCAATCTGTATTTCCTAGCTTGATAAGTGAGACCATTATCCACTTGGTCACCCAAGCCATGATCTTGGGATTCATTTGAAATGTCCCCTTCTCCTTCACTACATACATTTAAACCCCATTCAGTGTCCGTGCCCACATCCAGTTAGAGAGCAAATCCCAACAGTTTTACCCTCTGAAAACCTCTAATCTGTGCTTTCTTCTTCAATCCCCTGTGCTTCTGTTTTAGTTTAGGTCTTCATCACTGTTTGGCTTATTTTAATCTTCTTCAATATATCCTCCACACTACTGCCAGCATCAGACCTTCTTGGTGTGAATTCACCATTAATTTCCTTCTCTAAAGCACTTTAAGTTCCAAAACACCTTCAGAATTAAAGTCAACCACTTAGCTTGGCCCTACCACCTTTCTGGTCCTGGGCCTTGCCTATCCCCTGCCATTGTGTACTCTGTTCTGGGTCCATGCTAAACAACTTGCTGTCTCCCAGAGACATCACATTTTTTCTTACCTTTGTACCTAAGTATATCTGCCTGAGAAACCCTTTATCTTCCCACTACACTAAACCATTCCTCTTTTAAATGACAGTGCAGCCTAGTGGATGAGCTTGTGAACTTTGGGGCTGAGAAAACCTGATATCCAATCCCAGACAACTTACTTTTCCTCCTTGAGCCTCCATGTTGTCATTGGGGTTGGTTTGAGAATCAGATCAGGTATTTGTTGAATAAATTACATATTTGTTTAGTGCCTACTTCCTGCCAGGCCCCGTTCTGGGAACTGCAGATATGTCAGTGAACAGCCGAAGCCTCTGCCCTGAGGGGCTTACAGTCTGGCTGGCACACAGGAAGTCTACAAAAAAAGTTATTATTATTCATCCTAGGCTTAGGTAATAGTTCCTTGGGGAAACTTTTTCAGACCTACTTCCCAATTTTCATTTTGAATTAGGTGCTCATCCTCTACGGTCCTATATCGCCTATGTGGTACAATTATTACAGCATTATGTCATATCATCATTGCCAAATAATTTTATCTTAACCCATAATGAGTTCCTCAAGGACAGATTCCGGGACTTTTCGTCTTGTTTTGCCAGCTTTCAGTACACAAGAGATCCAGTTATAAGTGTCAAGTGAATGAATGAACATTTTAGGGTATGCCTAACATTGTTTAAAAATAACAACATATACCACTAAGAATCTGCTGTGTTGACTGTTTAAATGTATTATGTAATTTAATCTTCACAGCAACACTATGAAACGAGTATGATTACATCTACCTCATAAATGAGGAAACTAAATCTTAGAGATGCAAAGTAACTTGCTGGAGTTACACAGCCAGCAGGTGGTAAAACCAAGTCAGGGACCCAGGTCAGTCCAACTCCAGAGGCCCAACTTTAATCATGATGCTTGATGAGAGCAGCCATTTCTCCATTAGGCAGTTGAAGATATAGAACTATGGTCTGCATGTACTTTGTTTTTGATATGCCTATGTACATAAGACAACTTTAATCCACAGTCGATTTATATGGACATTTTAGCTTAGTTATATTTTTCTGTAATGTTCTGTGTGATTCTGCTTACCCTGCTGAGGGATAGGGAAACAGAAACAGTTTTAAACTTGCCAGTTCACAGTATTAGAGCCTCTTCCAGTATAGACTGTCTTTGATTAGCTCCGTTTCTTAAGGGAATATTTAGTCTTTAGATGTCCTTCCCCCTTCTCTAGCTCCTCTGCCTAATGATACCAAGCCACTGATTTTTGTCTTTATTGTGATGGGGCTGCACCTGTTTAGGGAGTAAGGCATCAGGGTAATATTCTTTAAGGCGGTCTTTTCCTAGAGTCTCAAATGGGAAACGAGACAAAAGAAAGTCCTTTAGGCTGAGAACAAAGCCAATACCACTCTATTGCCTGTCTCCCTTTGAGGACCTGGAGATGGGAGAGCCTGCCTTTCCTACTTTCATCCCCTTCTTTCTACACTCAGTTGGGGTTGGGAAGGGTAGACTCTCCCCTCCTTCTTTCTGCCCTTTGTGCACTTTCCCTATATCTTACCATCCTCCTTCCTGAAGTGGAATTTGCCCTCCCCTTCTTCCTAGGGTTAAACCGAGGAATGGCTGCCAGGTCACCTGATTTATGGGAGGAGGAATGAAAACATCTGTTCAATACTTTCAAATTATTACCTTTGTTACCCCTGCATCTCAGAGGGTATTCTCAGGTCTCCCAAGCTCTCTGGATCCCTTTATAGCAACGTAGCTCAGAGCAGTTCTAGAGGAAGATTTACAAGGGCTCTTAGATACCTCCTTTACCTGACTCACTACCTTACCCCTTTCAGCCCATAACCCAAATTCTTGGCCATAGTCTTGTCCTTTACAAGCAGCCTAGAAACAGTGGGAGTATTCCCTCCACAAAATTAGTCAGTATAATCAATGAGCTATACATTCAAATTCTGACAATTTCGTCCCTATGACAACACCAACGATGTCTAACCTATTACTTAAATATGGGATCATGGAAAAGTAAGCTGTACTAAAAAACCCAAAATGAGAGAGCATACTCTGAAAACATTAAATATTCGATTTGTAGACTCTCTCAGCTTCAGACTGTCCCTAAAGAAAGGGGAAGCGTTTGTGAAAGGGAACAAATTAGTAAGGAAATTGACAACCGTGGTGGGTTCAGTGACAGAAATAGTAAGAGGAAGCATGGATCCTTGTAGCAATGACTATACTCTCAAGCCTCTTCAGCTCATTGTGCAATATGAGGCTTGGTGTATATCTCTTAGATATAACTATATACCTTGTAAGTTTTAGGTCAGAATTGGATCTTTACTGTATGAGAAAAAATTCTCATGTAAGCTGAAATATGGGTGAAGAAATCACTTGAATACTGTGAATTCACTGGAGAAGCAGAAAATAATATTATTAAAATAGAGCCTGAAAGGAGAATATAAAATAAGAAAAAAAATGCCCCTTGTTTGAGAATATCATTACCATCTGGGTTGTAAATCATTTGATTCTAATTCTAGTAGCTTGTTGCCAGAAATAACTTATTACCAGGGAGATATGCTGGAGAATTGTCAGGAATGACAAAGTTTTTACTTGTTTTTAATATCCGTATCATAAAATGATAAAGCTAATGAACCATACAATGATGTGACAGGATGAGCCATATAGCCTAGTATTTTCTGCTGCATATATTTATGCTGTTTTTATATCCCAATTCTTCTTCCCTTCCCATCCCACAAAAGGTCAGAAACCGCTTTTGATAAACAGAGAATCCTTCAAACTCTCTTCCCTCTGGAGAAAAGCATTGGACACGTCTGGGGTCTGTTGAGAGTTTATAGTCTAATCCATAGACTGTACAATAATAGCAATTTATATTCACCATTCAGTGGTCATGTTGAGAATGTACATAAAATACTTGATTCTTACCTGATCTACAATATTTGAGTTCACAGTAAACACAGTTCACTACTGTCCAGTCACATTGATGTCATTTTGGAGCTCCAGTTCACACTTTCATGCGACCTTGAGCAAGTTACTTAATCTTGCTAGTTTATTCATCTTTGAAGTTGGGATAATAATAGTTCTTGTTCATAGCCAGTGTATTTGAAAACTGCTTTGCAATGAAATAGAACAGCTTGAATGTTGAGAGCTTCCAAATCCTAACTTGGGTGTTCACTTTAATTAAAATGAAAATGAAATAAATGACAAGGAGTTAATTATTTGTATCAGGAGGGAGTATAAGAATTTGAATTAGGGGGTCTTGAATATCCATGATGTTCTAAAAATGGTAGTTATCTTTTTCACAAACCTTCTTTGGGGATTCTTTTGTGCAGAAAATCTCTTAATTTGCCATCTTTAATCGTTATTAAAGCTTACATTGGTTAGAAGGATATGCAGCTTCCTCTTAGGTTTTCAGGTTTGGGGCTTCTTTGGAAGAGGAGGCTGATGCTGTTTGGAGAATGGAGCAGGAAGCTGGAAATTCGAAACCCTTAGTCTGATACATTTTCTAGAAGCAGGCCACCGGGTCTTACTATATTTTTCTGAAACCAGACTGAGTTTAATTTTAACGGTATAAGGATTTGGTATTGAAGGAGTTAAAGGGTCTCCCACACCCCTCTGCCTGAATCGCTCTTTTGTGTACACAGCTGCAGTTGGAGCACGGGTCGGAAAGGAAATGGTTAGAGGAAGAGTTGGTTTTCAGACCAGGCGAGTCTGCGAGGGGGGCTGGGGTGGCCTGGGGTTTTACATGCCAGATGTAGGCCTGCCCGGGTGCCTGCCTGGAGCTGCTGGCGTGGTCACGTCGCGGCCCTGTGCGAATTGAACCGAGGTGATGAGTTAGCGAGTTGCTATGGTGACGAGCCTGGCCACGTGACCAGGCTGCTGCTGCCGGCGCTTTGACGTCAGCAGCCGGGAGGGCGGGACCCGGGAGGGCGGGGCGGGGCGGGGCGGGAGCCTGAGCTTGGAGAAGAGAGCAGGCACGGTCTGCGCGAGGAGCAGGCGAGCGGGAAGGAAAGACACAGCCACCTTCCTCACCAGCCGGCCCGCAGCTGTTTGTTCCCTATCTCGGGAGTGCGCCAATGCCTGGTCCGACCCAAACCCTGTCCCCAAATGGCGAGAACAACAACGACATCATCCAGGATAACGGGACCATCATTCCTTTCCGGAAGCACACCGTGCGCGGGGAGCGTTCCTACAGGTAATGGGGCTGGCACCGGGAGCGGCGCCGGGCGGGGAACCTCGGCGGGGGCGCGCGGAAATCCGGCCCGTTATATAATGGAGCAGACGCTGCCCCTGGACTGGGCTGCAGACGTGCGTTTTTAAAGGCGATCGTGATTCTTTGCTATCCGTTTCCATGTGTCATGTTGGGTATGCCTTGAGGCTTCACGATTGCAGATGGAGAGCATTTTGTGAATAGGTTTGCTGCCTGCAAGGGATCTCCCTCCATCTCTTTCCTTCCACATTGATAAAAATGCAAGCAATTTTCCCCTCTCTGCAAAGAGAGACAGGCTGTAGCACTTCCTTTCCTCCTTCTCTTTTAGATTTTAAGGGAGCCATTAGGTACGCTGAGCCTAAAGACAGGAGGATGGCTAGAAAAAATGTTTGCGTCTGCCCTGATGTGTGTGTGTGTGCAAGAAAGATGGAATCCTCTAGATTAGGCTGCAGTCTGTGATGTTAAACCGCCAGATTGATGGAGCTTTGTAAGAATTCTGCTCGCTGATTGGTGCAGGGATTGACAGCAGAGGTCATGGTGTCAGGCGTTCACCAAAATTTTCTCCATAGATTCCAAGGTTTATTAGAAAGCGACTAGACTGCAATGAACTTGAAGAAAACTGGGTGCAGTTATGCCTATTCTTAGGAGTTTATGGCCTCCGCATGGGTGTGGGAGCCCGCCCTCCTTATTTACAATAGGAAGGTAATTCCTGGTATCTTGCTGAGGTCTGATTTGAGGATGGGGCTGATCTTGGTCATTGTATTGTGAGCCTTTTGATTAATGAGTCGGCCTGTAAGGTTGGCATCATTTTGACATTAGCATATCTGGCAATATGTTCTTGTAGATAAGCTCATTAAAATTGTTTGCATTGTTTGATAAGGATAACAATGTAATGGAGAATGCAGCTAGAGCCTAATGCAGCTCAAGGCCAGACTTGAAGGGAGACTGATAGCTTCACTCATATTTCCTCTGAAGTTCTTTTGTACCAAGTAGTTATTTTTAAATGTTACCTTGATAACCGCTAACAATGCTTGTGCTTTGAAGCAGAGCACACATACCTCTAAAGCGCATCCTCTCAGCTAGTGAGCAACAGGAAATAACTCTTTTTTTTTAATGCCTTCATCTAAACATTCAGATGGCATTATGGGTAGAATATTCAGTGTATATCACTGTAGCATGTTTATAAAATGGGAGTAAAAGTACCCCACTTCCTCTCTCTTTGACTGAAGAAACACTGTTGACTCAAAAAAAAAAAAAATGATAAGCAACATTTGCCCCATCATCTCTGGCAGTTATGTAAATACTTGGAGTTAATTTTGGCTGTGCCCCTGAGGTCACCAAAATCTCATGCCTTATGGTTCCAACTAATATGTTGACATGGCATCCTTACAGATTCCAAGTGCTTGTTATTCTCTTAATATAAACCACAATTGGTCCACAACCTCTGAGACTCCTTTTGGAGACCCCTGTGATTGGAAGGTTGGGTTCCTTCTCTCCCTTACCCTTCACCTTTCTCTGTGAACGTTCTGAAACCTAAAATAAAATTAACAAAAACAAAAACCCTGAGTTGCTTTTAAACCTCACTTACTCAAACTGTTCTTACAGGTGATACATTTGAAGCCCTCATTTCTTAAATGATTTATTCTCTGCTATGTAGGTAGTAGTTGCTTTTAAGACAGAGTTCAGATTTTACCACGTGGGCCAAAGGATGTGGCCCAGTTGGGTTTTATTAGTCATATGAACTGAGTTAAAATGGCAATGGAAAAATCACTTGGTGGAAAGCTTAAATGCTACCTTTTGGTGATAAATGATTGCTTTAAAATAAAATTTTACCTTTTTAATTCAAGTTATTTCCAATTCCTAAAGTATTTCCAGTTTGCTTTCTGAGTCTCTTTAATGGTACCTGGAATTATGTGAAAAACAAAACCGAATTTGAATAAAGATCTGTCTGAACAAATTCTTAAGTCACTATGAGCATTATTGCATTTGTACTTTATGTAATAGGATTACTGAACGCTATAGTGAGACATGTCATAGGTTAGATGAGGAGGGAAGCCTCCAAAACTGCCTTTGTGTTGTATTATGCGAAGGGTGCGCATGGAGACAGACACAGCTGATGTTGTCCTTGGTCTGCTTTTCTTCCAAAGTAGATGACCAGTGTCTCATAACTACCACTTATTTTTGGGTAGGGGCATAAGGGAAGGAAAAATGTGACACATTTTTTTATACAGGAACTGTTCTGTAATTACTTTGGCATCCTGAGGCTGGAATAATATTGCAGTTTAATTGCTAAGAAAACTTGGAAGGCAATTTGAAAGCCAGAGTAGAGGTGTAACCACGTAAGTTTTTCTTTGGCCGTAGGTTCAGTATAGCCCCCACCAATGAGATATTCTCGAGAGTTCTGTTTGAGTCCCTATGGAGGGTCTGTGTAAGCCCAGAGCCCCAGGATGATGAAAGGCAGTTCCCTTTCTGGTTCCTTACTGACTTCTAGATAGGCCCCTGCAGGTCCTTTATCTTTTTAGAGATACCTGCATCTGCTCATGACATATATCTCACTGCATTCTTATAAAGTTTTCGTGAGGATAACTTCACACATTTAAGACAAAGACTTACTTAAAAGAAAAAAAGGCTACGTAAATACAAGAAGAATGCTGTGCTTACTGAAAGGGGACTCTCTTAGGAACTCCAGGACAAGAACACCCCTCACCTGGTGGTGCAGCTGAGAGGTGGAGGAGACAGCTAAAGAACAAGACAGTGCTTCCTGGCACTGTCAGTGAGCAAGTGGTCACTCTTCCCAGCAGGAGACGTTATCACCATAACATTCGCACTAGAGCGTTTATAAATAAGGGTCAAATATGGTTCATGGCCCAGACACCTTGACCCAGGTATCTCTTAGTGTAAACAGAGCCCGTTTTTCCAGCCTGGACTAGAGTGGGTAGTAAATCATTATTGAAACCTGTATGCACTTTGGTGAGAAGAGCAATGCTCCTTTAGAAAATTACCCCTCCATTAGTCACATCAGTTGAAAGAGCAGACGCAAAAGTGGCTCAGCAGAGCCCTGCGGACTCGTTTCCATGGCTTATGTCCACTACTGTGTGATGGCCTCCTCGGCCCCACCTTCCTCATGGCAGGTATGAACACTAGAAATCCATGTATGTTAAGAGGCGCTTAAAATGATATAAATGTGGCGTGGGGCATTTGAGGTGACACTTTAATTCACAGAGCGAGTCCCGCTCTGGCTCTCCCTGGAGAGGCCACTCCATATAGCTGTTTCTTGCAGATGCTAGTAGGAAATGAGATTTATTAGCTGGCCCTCTGCCCACCAAATCTTTGTTTGCATACTCCAAGCTTTTAAGAATGAATATATAAGTCCAGAGGACTATTTCCACGTGGGTGTTTGAACATGCAACTACAGTAGCGTATGTTTCTGAATACTTAAAAAAATTACTTGGCCCCAGGAAATGGACTATAAAGAAAAACAAAATGAAAACTTAAGCCTAAAACATTGACTCTGACATCCAACTTTGCCAACTTTGAAAAATGAACTCTTGTTAAGAAAAACAAAAAGAAAAATCTTGTGTGTGTATAAAAAATAGAGTTGTGAAAGCATGTTCCATTTAATAGAAGCTGTTGTAACATGGCTCGCTTCAACCAGAATGTACGTTTCCCAAACAGTGCAGCTGCAGACAGCAAAAGTATAGTTTTATTCGCCTCCATTACATATGTATTAGTATCATCTGGGTTTACTACTGCCATAGGAGGTTTTTGAAAATAATTATTTTTGTCCGTAATTTTTCTTAGTATTTGTAAAAATCACAGGATTACTTGATGCTTTGATTACTAGGTGCCCAATTTTTTAACCTCTTTTCAGGGTTCTTTGTCAGAGTTTCTGTTACAGGGATGGCCTTCTGGGTGCCCTTGGTGAGAGCTCACCCCTGCTCAGCAGTGGTTGTTACCACTCGTATCTGTTTACAGTACATTATCTTAGCAGAACAGTGGTTTGAGATGGTCCTCTGAATTTAGGACGTTGGTTTCCATAAGCAATATCTTTTCTGTATTTACAGGGTCCTCTTGAAGCTGCAGTGATATTCCTTTAGATTAATGGAGGGGGAAATATTGGGACTAATCTAAATATCTGGTTTGGAGAACTAATTTGACAAAAACTTAAGAATCTCCTCTGGGCATGCTCTCTGCTAGATGCCTCTTCAAGGGCCTAGAGTTCTAGCAAAGTCAGATGTGCGAGCAGCTCATTTCGTAATAGATTTATTTGCCTTTTGAATATTTGGCTTGCTTACAAAAGTTTCCTGAGCCCACAGTGACAAAGTAGAAAAAGGTACCCTCCGGGCCAATATGCTGTGAGAAGTTAAAAGACACTGTGGGAGACCAAACATTTGGGTGAAAAGAGCATAGGCTTTAGAATCAGAATTTTCTTTGGTCTGGCAAGATGCACATTAGGCAGTAGTGGAAAATAAGGTAGGAGCATTGAAAGGCAGGCAGGGTGGTCAGAACTTGAACATGCAAAGCCACTGAAAACTCATTAATTGAAAAACAGCATAATGTAAACAGGAGTGTGCATGCCGGAATTGATCTCCCGTTTTGAAATGAGAGTTAAAAGGAAAATGAAGTTCCAATAGTGCCCCGTGGAGCAGAGTCCAGAAGTACTAGGAATCCTTAATTCTCCATGAGAGAACTCTCTCAAGCCCCAGTGTAGCAGTCAGGACAAGGTGGACTGGCTCGAAGCATCTTCTCCCAAGTAGGAGCAACCAGCATAGCTTCCTCCCGTAACTGGACTGGTACTTGGGTCTGGCAGTGGCTTCTGTACTTGCTGAAGCCTACTTCATAGTTAGCAACCTGACTTCGAGGGGTGGCTGGTCTACATTTATACTGTTCTGATTCTCCCAAACTCAAAAGCAGGATGTCTGGTACTTCACGGCGAAGGATTCTTCTGAGTCATTTAATGCCATAAATGTTGCAGACATGACTCC